TGTTTTTTCCTACAAAAAATCATTATATAGCCGCCATATTGGCTTCATTTTATCATATGGCTTTTGTATTGGAGTTATCGTTTCAGCCTTCTTTCAGAGTTCACTGCCTGAACCCGGTTGTCGAACACATGGCAGTGATGGCGGAAATTGGTAGTTAAAACTTTTACTTTAAAAAATATTTTTAATATTCACTCCCCCTTTATTTATAATACTCCTTGTATTAATAAGTTTTGATAACCAGTGAAAAAAAATACGATACTGACAGCATAATGTTTGAAAATAGTGCTTCAGCATTTTGTGAAATACACAGTATACACACATCAAAATAAAGAAAATCTACGGTAAAGAAAGGCATATTTTAGCATTTAAGAATATTTTAAGCTATTTTATGGCATTTTAGCTGTTTATTAAAAAGTGAAAATCAATCGGCATTGTAGGTCTATTGATGTCGCCAAGCTTGTACATAACTTCATGCTACTGTGTGTGTGACTGTAAACAGTTTGGTGTAACTATTTTTCTAGCTCAAATGGATAAATCATTGATAAAATGCCGTGAAGGTAGCGAGAAAATGTTTGCTTTAGTCCAACGACATAAGTCAACTGAAAATATACCATGGACAAGTGTGGAGTGATTACATGATAAACCTACAGAAAACTTATAAAGAAAATATGTTGAACTAGAAAAGCTAGAAAAAAGAAAAAAATATTCAAATGCTGTTGGTTGGAATTTCTGATTTCTAAACTACTTGGCAAAACCTTGGATCGACTACTGAACAGAACTACATGAATTTTTCATTTAAATAAACACTGTTTATTGTTGCATGAAGGCAAAAATAGTTATTTGGCAGTGTAGGTGAATAAAATTAGTAAGTTCTATAGATAAGTGCTTATATTACGAATTTTAGCCTCCCTTTTTTATGAGCTTAATTGAAAAGTTGGATTATTTGAAGAACTATGACATGTCGCTGGACTTAAACAGATAAATATAAGTTCCTTAATTTTGCCTCAAATGTCGGGTACTATTTGCGAATTTTTTACGCCGCCATATTGATACTTGTGACGTAGATAGTTGAACACGTCTGTTTCCGTCAGTATATTATATTATAGGAGGTGATTTTGTTGTCGTTTTTTGGAGGTGATTTTGTTGTCTTAAAAACAAATAATGACAGTATTTTCAATAAAATATTAAAAAACAAGTTTTCCGGAAAGTATGGCCTGAAATCAGTGCTCAGATAATTCGAATTCGATGTCTGAATGCGTATCTGATTCGAGCTCGGAATCCGTGGGTTATGTCGAGCATTTAAACGACTTCGCATATGACGATGAACCGCTCGCAGGAGATGGTGATGAAGTGCATACTCCAGATGATCCCGATGGAATTCTCCCTGCGACAATTAGAACAACGAAGTGATGGCGTAATTCCACTCGGTGAATGGTAAGTTGTTGTTTTCTCCTGTTTGTAATATACATAAAGTTACTTTATAAACCACAATGCTCCCACGTTTCAGGTGTAATTGTCAATGCTGTCATACCGATTTGTTAGAAGGCGCATTAGAGTACAGATGCTGTAAGGAAATAGGACCAGCTTTGCCGAAAATGACATTCGATGGCAGCATTGAGAAAATATCATGCATAACACAGCATGCCAAATTTGGGCCTTTAGTTCATGAGGCTGTCCTTGAAAACGTCGGGCCACTATTGAGAGATAGGAATGGACGTGCTTATCGCCGCCAAGCATCACAATCATTAAATATGTAAGATTGTAAATTGTATGAGAAACAATGTTATCATCAACATTGTTTCATCAACAATAATTAGTCCAACCTTTTTATTTACTTCAGGTACTTGAGAGCTGTGGCATACAGATGGATGATGCGATGGTTTTGTGGGTCTATGGGATAGGAGAATACTCTGCCTTTACCTGCTTGTGTTTACCACTTTATTCGGAAAGCATATCCAAGTGGTAACACAAAAGGTTACATACCATCAGAGGGTCGATGATGGAAAGGTCTTTTAACTTGTGCACTGTAGAGACTGTTGACCTTCTTTGCTGAGTTTAGAATGGTCAGGAAATATGCCTAGATGAAACAAGAGTAAACAATAAAAACAAATTGGTGCAACTACTGAGAGGTTAAGCTGAAAGAATTAAATGAAAGAAAATCTTTTCTTCAAATGTCAGTCTGGGAAAAAAGACAAAAGGAAAAATATATGGAATTAAATCATAGTAGATGGTACTTCCTCATCGAGAGAACATGTTTCCTTCAGCGATGGCTTATGGAGAGTATGTCGAATAATCTACAAAACTAATATCGAATTTACATATGACAAAAGAAAAATTAACATAAACAAGCGTAAACTTACTTGTCTTCGCTTTCGATCGGTTATTTCATCCTGTAATGGTTCAGGAATCCCAGCCACGTCAATGGTTGGGATAGCATCTTTCTTCAACCTTCTCTTGAGCTTGACTTGCACGCTCAAATTAAGGTCAAAACAAGAATCTTCAAAATGCGCAGAACACAGACACGAGGTAGAGGAAGCCTCAAAACCCGGTCTATGTTTACGCACAAAATTTACCCATTTTCTATGCCTTTGCGGTTCTGTTTCTTTTTTAGGAAACAGATGCATTGACATTCCTTCGATTTTTGAATCATTGGTGCAACTAATTTGATTAGGTCCGACAGCAACACAGCGTTTTCCTCCGCGTTTCTTATTAAGATTACTAGTAGAATACGCCATGTTGATATATGTGTTCAACTTTCTGCGTCACAAGTCATTAGCATACCGATCAAAAAGTTCGCAAAAAAATGCTGAAAATCGTGACTTTGGACGTCCGTAAAATCACTTTCACAAATCCAATTTCAATTATAATTGCAGATTTAAAATCACTGAAACAAGGTCTTTCAATTTAGCTAATAAAAAAGGGGGGCTAAAATTCGTAATATAAACACTTTAAAGTAAACACGTTTCACCATGCTTATGCCCTCTAAAGTGGAAATGAGAGATTACGCTAATACTATTTAAAAACAAATTTATGACTGAAAATTTTATCATGGTAATAACTTTCATATTGCCTTTTTTATCACCATTTTTTGAAAAAATAAATACAATTTAACATTAAAAGATTACGGTTGCCAATAGATATCGTAGATGAAAAGGAGTGAAACTTTTTCCACCAGATAGTAATCAATGCCAATTATTAAATTGAGTATATTTGAGTTCATGAGACGATGCGTCCTTTCCTAAAGTGCCTATGAAATGAAATTTTGCGAAATTTTTTTTGCGTTATCGAAAAATATCATCTTTTATGATCACAATGACACAAACCTTATCCAGCAATTCAAACTAGAAGTTGGTAAATTTTAAATTCAAAGTTGGACTATGAGAATATTTTCTGCTCAAAACAGCGCGCGGTCAAGAGTTCTTGATGACGTATGCAGTGTGACACAGTGCACCATTTGTATATGAAAATATTACAAACAATAATATTTCTACTTACTACTTCAAATGGTTAGAATTGCGTTTTTGAATGTGTTTAACCAAAATACAGGAATGTCTATGTTATAAAATCTCGATACATAGTTTGAATCAATTCAATTTATTACTATACGAAGTTTGTCGCCAAACGAGGAAACATATGTTGCAGTAAGAGTGAAATTTTGGCCTTTCAATAATCAATGCTAAATACAATGCTTGCACTTTTACATCGAACTTTAAAATTCATTAAACTACCTCCAGCGCAATTAGACCTAAATCTATATAAACGTTATCTAACATTACAAAAATCACCAAATATCGTCCTTAATTATTTTATATACTGGTTGTGGTTGTAGTCACATTTTTAGGGATTCTCGCATTGCATTTAATCTAAAATTTACTCGATATAAGTTGGATATTCAAATACAATGAATAGATGTAATAATTACAAAATAGTAAAAATCATAACGATATTTTCCTTAGCAATGATGATTTATATCAAATTGTATACCGACTTGTACCAGCACTGACAAAATAAATATAATGTAATATAATATCCACCCAAGCATGCCGAATATCAATCTGATTATGAGCACTATAGCTGCACGAATATATCTTAGAAATGAACATTAGAATTGCAGTTTCAATCTTGATAGTACAAAATTCGTAATTTATATCTGAATATATGCAGTCTGTGGAATAAATAATAAATTACATATGAAATTAAATAAAGATATGATCTTCGCACTTTGCTGGACAGTTGGTCAGAGTACTGCACCGGCACCGCAGAGGTCAAGCTGCTTTTTGCTTATAGCTCAGGACGACAAAGTCTTTCGAAATAACAAAAAAATTTCGCAAAATTTCATTTCATAGGCACTTTAAAGCACGAGTTACCTCATTCTTTACATGAAAAATTACTGTAAGTCTAATTAAAGTGCTGTGCTAAAAAAATACGAGATTCTCAATTTAGAATTTATGACAATATTTGTCGGGGGGAGGGGGGTGAGGCACGAACAAGATACTTTTAAAAAGGTCACAATTTTATTCAAGACCTCGACATATTCAACATGCCTTAATCATACAAAACGTGAAACGCACGACAAATCAATGAAAGGAAAGTGTAGGCAGAGAGTTCATGGACTCAAATTTAAATTAAATGTACGAACTTTTGCAAATGAACAACACAAAATAACAATGATAACACCTAAATCATTAAAAAGTGTTACATCATTATAAATTACACGAAAAGCCATGATTAATGCTGCTTAAAAACTATACTATCAAATCAGAATAAATTGTTTTTGGATACTTTTTCTCATAATCCAATCATATCACTAAAGCAACAAAGGTTTTCACCACTTACACGTGTTTGCCACACAAAAACCATTTTAAAATTGTAAACTTTTTTTTGACAAACTTTGTTGCTCAAAATTAAATTATCAAACAATCAGAAATCACCAGTCCAGTTTTTATTGATATACACACACTATGGGACAAAAATTGTAGAAATCACATAAAAACACTGACCTGTGTGATTAATGTAGTACGGTAACCAATACAGAAAAGTATAGCTCACAAGCTTAGCAAAGAAAAGACACAGTGAGTACTCTATCACACCCTATAAAGAAAAGTACACCAGTGTGTTGCTTTCGAAAATTATCTTGCAAAGCAGACAATGAAAACACACAACAAAACAACATTGTCGACTTTAATTTTAGAAAGAATTCTATAAAAAGCACTTGTACCGATTACCTACACTTATTTACAATCTAAAATACTTTGCTCATTATTATGATAAATGATAAAAGAATATCCCAATCAAATCGAAAAATGCAGAACAAGATGATAGAAGAACTGAGTAGCTGTTAATAACACCACAGAAGAGAATTTTTTGCTGTAGCGCATATCTTATTACGCATGTGGTTAGCATAGTGGCAGTTAGTTAATTGTATTTTCTGAACAATAGGAGCGCTTAGGTGGCTTGCCAAAGCCAGTAATCTAATTAAATATACAGCACAAAGTTGTACAATTAAGTGAATCTGCTGTTTGTTTTCATACTGTGATAATACACAATGTATTTAAATTGACAATCTGTGTGTATCTAAAAGGCGGAAGAAGCTCACTGATAGAAATATTGAATTGAAAAATATAGCTAAGCAAAAGGAAAACAGAAATGTTTATGGATATCTAAGTTGATATCTATGCAGCCTTTAACTTTTTCCAGCAAGAGAAGAATGGATGGTAATTTTCTCACTCTGTTGAGCCCAAAAATTCTTATCTTACGGCACTAAAAAATCAACTAAATCCCACCATCAACAAGCCGAATTGAACAATCATTTAAAAATGGGTATGGCCCATTTTCTCTATTTTCATGACACCAAACTCTCCTTTGGCTGGTTTTCAAGTGTAATTATAATATGTCAGAATGCATTTGTTATAATTGTTTTCGAAACTTGTTTTCAAATGACATAATGACGAAATTAGTTTAGCTTAACTTGTTGTAATTGAGGCTTGATCACTAAAATGTTGTTGCATTTTGTCAGAATTGACGGGAATCACATCATGTACATGGATAATAATATATTAAGCATTTCAAGTGGACGACAATTTTCTTTAGAGTAAACATATTTCGGCATGCTTATGCCATCTTTAGTGCAAGAATAATTATGATTTCTATTTAAAGCTATATTTATAAAAAGAAAAATTGGGCTGTCGTTTTCGCGGGTAGTGTATGAGTGTAGTCAGACCAGAAGTTCAGAACAGGTTGCTAAAGCCCGGTTTCCATATAATCGTCGAATTGTCAATCATGGGAAATGATTGACAATTTTCTAATCAAAGCCCACTTGATAAGCTGTAAAACAATTTTGAAATACCCGTGATTTCCATATGATCGCCAATCGTCAAAACACGCAAAAACGCATGGGTACTAAGCAAAATTTGCGCGCAATTCGAATACAGCGGGATCCAAAACAACAATGAAAAATTTACTTCTAATGAAACAATTCTTTTCTAACTCTTGCATTTTACCTATGTAAATTCATTAAACGAAAAAAGCACCGATTTTGGGTAAGAGATGTTTACAAAAGACGTCATGAACAAGGGACGTTTCAAAATTTGGTTGCAGAGTTTGCCTTTACAATCGTGAGTTCTTCAGGTAAGTTGTTGTGTGCATTTTGTATAACATAAATGTGCAATTGTTCCAAAGCAATCACTATGTATCACTACGTTTAGGTGCAAATAAATGTCTCCTGAAAGGCTTTTAAACTAGTTGGGCAACGTATATCGAAAAAGCGTTGTCGTTTAAGAGCGACCATTTCAAGTTCTCAAAGGCTTATGGTCACTCTTCGTTATATGGCAACGGGCGATTCGCAACAAAGTACGTCTCCAGAGCAAGACGTACAACTAAAAATGCTTTTGGTATACTTGCAGCAAAATGGCGGATTTCTAGGAGACCGATTCGGGCTGGTGTGGATTTGGTAGAAAATATTGTAAAGGCATGTACTTGCTTTTATAATTATTCACGATTGACCGAAAATTCAATGTATCTGCCAAATGGTTTAGTTGACACTGAAGATGGTAACAGAAATATCATTCCTGGAGACTGGCGAAACGTTGGCGTAGAAAATAGGAGAGGTTTAACTTCCAATTCAAGAATTGTGGGAAATAGATATTCCAACCTTGATGATTGTACGAGGTCAACTTTCATGGATTATTTTTGCAGTCCAGAGGGACAAGTCACATGGCAGCTGGAGCATGTTAGAGGATGTTGAACACTTAGAAATTAATCACATTTTTTCAAAATAAAGATCAACAGAATAAATCAATTTATAGAGCTTAAGTTTTTATGTCTACAGTATGTATGGAAAAAGAACTTTGCAACAAAAGTCTGGAGCAATTGTAATTTGTTTATAGTTACTTTTACAAAGACAGATAAAATATATATCTATATTTCTCCAACATACGTGAAGGTGTTGTCATTCATTAGCATCGGCATTTCGACTGTAGTCGAAGAATATCGGATAGCTTTGTCTTGCCAGGTAGTTAAACGAGCGGTTAGCAAATGGTGTGAATACTTCGTGACCATGACCTCGGTAAAGTTAATGATGTTCTGGAGTATAACTTAAAGATTCACTCTTATGTGGTTCTGTGTTTGAAGTGGAACTTTGTCCAAACTCAGCATGAAAGAAAACTTGCTCAATTTGTTGTCGTACTGAAGCTTTACATTGTGGTGACAAACGCTTAAATCGAAGAATAAAGCCTCTGCAAAAAAGACAGTCTTCGTCGTTGTCTTCACCAATTAGTTTTCTCTTGTTTGCTTTGTCGGTCCTTCGCATATGCTCACCTATGCTGTTGGCAGTATTAACTATGGCACGCTCTACATCGGTTTATTTTTCCAGCTGCTGTTTGCTGTTGGTTTTGGTGTGCTGCTGATGACAGTGATGTCCGCAGTAATGTCATCCTCAGCTTCTGATGCATAAAGATCCAAATCTTAAACACTCGAAGCATTTGATTCATAGCCATTTTCACTATCATGAGGACTTATATACTTCACGTTTCCGCGTTTACCAAGATTGTGGTCGTAGTTTTGTGAATAACATGAACCGACAGCCAAGGTATAGGACGGAGTCTCTACCAGGACCAGATGGAAATGACTTTTTTCCTTCAAAAATCTTCCATAGGCGGTTCAAATACTTTTTCTGCTTTCTTTGCTGTGATACCAAATTTCTCTGCTACTTTTTTCCAACTGTTTTGCTTGAATTGCTTGTTATTATAATCAACGGTGAATTTGTTGTGTAAACATTCGTATTTTTGAGCTTCCTCCATTCCTACTGCATTCGAAATACCAGCTGTATTCGACATGTCTGACTGTATTAGAATTAGTTGAGGTCGTGTGCGCTACAAGGTACACAAGTGTATGTGACTTGCCTAGATATCGATTTGTGTATAACTGAGGCCCCGTCCACACGTATCCGAAGTTTTCTAAAAACGGGATTTTTTCCACCGCCTTGTCTATGCGTCCACACGTGAACGGCGTTTTCACCTACCAAAAACGATGCTTTTTAAATACGGCTTACAGATTGAATTTTTTTGAAAACGCCGGTTTCACAAACACGTGTGGACGGCTAAAACGGAGGTTTTCCAACACGAAGACGGATGACGTATTATCGAGTCCGGATAGAGCATGCGTTTTTGCACCAAATTCAAAGCATCAGTTCAAAGTTTAAAGCATTTGTTCAACATGGCTATGCAGAAGAATTGAATAGCTATTTTACTCGGGCTTCTTTCAAGCACCATGGCATGTATTGCGTTACAAATCAAGACCTTGAATGTTCACGTTGATTAATTAAAAAACGAATTAATATTATGAGGATGATCTCTATTTCAAAGTCACGGGAAGTTGTTCTAAAACGATTAATAAAAAGGTGAGGAAGAGATCGTGGATTCTGGATAAGGTCTAGCAGAACAAGTGGAATAATTTTCAAATAACATCGTCATAGAAGAAGAATGGAGAGAAAACTTCAGAATGAGTCAAGCGTCTCTGTATTTATTAGCTGAGGAATTGAGGCCATATATAGAGAGGAAAATACGGCAATTTGGCGCATACCAATATTCTTCTCATTTTATATCGAGCTTACAAAATCTTCAAAATATTTTTCAGCAGAGCCAGCATTAACAAAAGGCGTTATAGTTAAAGCAATTTTTTTTGGATTTCGGAATATTCTATTTCCTATTTAGTTCACTCTTATTACACAATCATTACACAGTTCGCACAAAAATGGCGCATGCACATTTAGATATTTCTTCAAAGAAATAGAGCGGCTGGGGGTAAAACGGACGGAGATACATTGTTTTATAACGAATCAAATTGAATTTATATATTTATATAAATTGTTAGCTTAAAGTGTAACAACTAATTAATATCTTAGTTAATGTGAGTTGAAGTTGGTGTAAAATGCTTTCTTAATAATCGCTGAAACACAGATGATAAATCTCTAAAAAATAAAATGAGCGTTGTTGCTAGACACCCCCCGGAAAGTTTAAACTATGACTGACTGACTTACCAACTGCCTGCCTGCCTGCCTGCCTGCCTGACTGCCTGACTGACTGACTGACTGACTGACTGACTGACTGACTGACTGACTGACTGACTGACTGACTGACTGACTGACTGACTGACTGACTGACTGACTGACTGACTGACTGACTGACTGACTGACTGACTGACTGACTGACTGACTGACTGACTGACTAGTGTGAATTTTTGCCACTCACCACAATACTGCAAAGTTCCCATGGAAACTTTGCACTAAAAATGACTATAACAAATTTGTTTCCATGGCTTGTCGAAAACCCATGAAAACATTTTTAATCATGTAGTTCATAATGCATCCTGTTTCGAGGAACGGAAAAGTCGATTTTTTAAAATATAAATCTCTGTGACTCAGAAAGCTCATACCGGTAAACATAAGGCACCAAAAAAGGAGATAGCCTTCGAGTCCGCTCCATGCTGACCTTTCTTTCTTGCTCTGGAGTGTCTAACCTAATAACATAGAGAATGGGTGGCAAATGTCTACAGCAATTTATTTAAAAATACCTAATAAAACCATAAGAGAGGACAAGATATTGTACAACATTGTTCAACATTGGTTAAACTATGTCCAACCATTCTACGTTCATATTAAGTTGAATCTACAATGCATTTCCGTTGCCTCCTGAGTATTGAAAACTTTTATGTAAAAAGACACAAGGCTATAAGGACAAACACTAAAAAGAAACTGGTTAAAACAATACTGGTAAAAATAAAACAAACGAATTTTCGTAGTTAAATTCTAAAACGTGTTTGTAATCAAAAGTACAATTATATCAAAAAAAATAATAAATGCACCTCTTAATGCATAAAAGCATTTTCAAACAATTACATTTTCATCACTCTAGTCTTTAAATTTAACCATTCTCTTTAGAACAGACCTCCATATGCATTCTCGACATGATCAATAGATGTTTATAAACTACACATATTACCGAGACATGTCTCGATTCGTCCATTATGTTTCAATTCTGCCTCTCTGAAAGTTTTCTGTATCAATAGTATATTTCGAGAGTATTGTCAGTCGAATAGTTAGTCAATAAATACAAAATACTTCATTTAAATACTATATCTAGAAAATTGTCTTTCTAAGTATGTAGCCAATGCATTTGTATGCTTCATCAAGTGCATAAAACATGAAAACCTTGCTTTTCTCAATTTAATCCTTGATATCATAAAGAGTAAGTAATCATAGTGCACAAATTGGCGTTAAATATCAGTATTTAAACTGTTGGAAATTTGAACAAAATGAATAATTTTAGATTTACTGGCCATGGCTTTGATTTTTACTGGCCTTGATTTTTGGCCTTTGATTTACTGGCCTTGGAAAGATGTGCTTTTGATCTTTACATCACGAATAATATGAAATTATTCCACTTGAACAGAAAAATTACTTATACCAGGAAAAACAAATACAATCATCATTTTGGAGGTTGTACACCGTCCCAAAAATGTTGACCCATATCTTAAAGGCCGTGTCTCCATGAAAAGAAACCAAGGCTTAGAGTTAAAAAGAAACTCTCACAATACTCCATGTTAAGATGGTCAAAATAGTCTTTTGATCGCAGTAAATCAAAAAGCTTCATAGAGAGGTCAGCTCGACTGGTAAGAATAATCACATATGGGCAAAACCACTGACACGATGAACTTGCCAAAATATGACACATTCTACGTTCACCCATGTGAAACCACAAGCTGCATTGGTCACATGTCATTACCTTCCAGCCATGTTTTACTTCATCAGAACTATACACACCAAAACTACGTCATTTACCACCTAAATTCAGTACTACATCTCTTCCAAAAAAAATATAAACTGAAAAGACCTTTTCTAAACACAAGTGCGAATTTTTCTCGATTCTTGCTCGGTAAATAATTCAATTGATAAAATAACAACAATAAAAACGTGTGCGTTGATTGGTAGAAAGTTGAGTATGCATTAGCCTGTGGAATTGACCTTATGTATAATGACGTTACATATGCTTGAGCGCGTTAGGAGTTCTGGTTTTTGTAGTCAGATTTGATAAACAAACATGGCTATCTAATAGTAGCACAGCAACAAATCGTCAATATTTAAAAATTTTTCAGTCGATAGAAGACTCTAATTCTTTTAAAACTCATGTTTGTCTAATTGGAGGCTGGAAATTCCCAAAAATTATTGACGTTTCAACAGTAAATGCGACGGTTGAAGATAAGTTTGCGCTTACACAATAGCATATTGATGATACAAAAAGTAGTCTGGGTAGAGCTTATGTATTCAAAACAAAGTGGAATTTAAGGATAAAATTCGTGGAGAAGTTACCTGTCTTTACTCACGAAAGATTGGAGGATAAATTGGTATAGAATTCCCTCACAATGTGGAAAAAACTATCTCAAAAGGCGCATCTTTGTACTTACATGTCACAACATGTTGAGAGAAGCATTAGCAAGAACTAAAACTTAAGAAATTTTAAATGCAAAATTTTTACTTTTTTATTAGACGCCGACTTTAACAATATTTGGATCATATGATGCTATTTATCTAATTTTGATACAACTTTTCATTGAATAAACCTATTGCTTTTATATGTGTTGCTGTTTCTGTGTATTTATCATTGGTAAAGAAATGCATTCATTAATTTACAGTCATACAAAATTTGCATGTCTGAGAAGGAAAATGGATGTCAATTCTTTAACAAATACAATTTCACTTGTCCTCCCAATCAAATAAAATCGCCTGCAAAATACCTACCTACCATAAGGTGAGTCTGCAAACAATATGTATGGAACTGGCGATAGTCACAAGTGTTTAACTTGTTTCATATAAATAGTAGACATTAAAAGACAGATTGATCAAGAAAATTTCAAGATTTAGAACATAGCACATAAAAAGTACTCATTTTATAGCTTAACTATTTTGCTCCATTGCATGTGAAAATCATTAGTTTAAAGTGTTTATATTGCAAATTTTAGCCCCTCTTTTTTATTGAATAATTTGAAAATTTAGACTATTTAAAGAACTATGAAATGTCGATGGACTTAAACAGACAAATATAAGTTCCTTAATTTTGCCTCCAAAGTTGGATATTATTTGCGAACTTTGTACGACGCCTTAATGACACTTGTGAAGTAAATGGTTGAACACGTCTTTTTCCGGCAATACAATATTATATCATACGCGGCCCAGAAATCTGTTTTAGGTTTTTTATGCAATCGATTTATGTAGTAAATATATTCTTTGATTTATATGTATGGTTTTAAAGGTCTAATATTTTGATAAGGTAGGCAACTCTTAAACACAATACACCACTTTGGCGGTTTTCAAAAATGTGGAAACACGTGTTTGCTAAAGAGAAAAACTCGGACAAACATGGCGGAGTAATTTTTTATAACAATGGTTACGACGAAGAGGTGCGCTTGGGGAACCTGCAAAAGCGATTCGCGGTATCCTGATCGTTTAAAACGAGACGCAAGTAGAAGCAAAGTATTTTTTTTTGCATTTTCCTGGGGAGAAATACCATAGCGACAAGCGAGAGCGCTGGATTCGTGCGTGTCATCGAGGTGACAGATTTGTGTGTACGAAAGACAGTTATATTTGTAGTCTTCATTTTGTGGGAGAAAATGGTCCTACTGTAGATAACCCAGACCCTATTTCAGCGATACAAAGTATTGAGAATGTAAGTGTTGACTGCTCATAAATGTGTGAATTATACGAAAGCTTGCTGAACGTTTTATAAGCTTATACATCATTTTAAATTCATATAGAGAAGAAAACTAACGGGAAAACGAAAAAACCAATGACGAGGGTATATAATCCGCCACCAAAACGAGCGTCAATCTCCAAAAAAGATGCAGCAGAGGCTCTTCTTTACTTGAGCGAAAGGGAACACGCTAAAAGAGACGCAGCTGACGGCCTCCTATCCTTATGTGAAAATAGTACAACATCCCGTGATATCCAAAAGGATCAAGACGAACTTCTTGTTTTAAAGAAAAAAGATGCTGCTGCTCAAACCAACCTAACTCATGAACATCTTAAAACTTATGCGACTGAGTCATTTGTTAACACCAGCAGTATACAGAAATGCATGTTTTTAGAAAATGTGGTTAATGATTCAGCCCATTATACAGGTATAAAATTTCATTTTTTACTATGTTGATTATAACTTGATATAATTGCTTATGTTGGAAGCTATTGGAAATAATAAAGGACTTTGTGAGCTACTCTGAATTAATTTATCTGTAGGCCTACCAGGTGAAATGTTGAAAATACTTTTTGAGTTCGTGAAAGCAAAGGCTTCCAGGCTTATCAAATGGAAAGGGAAGAAAACAACAAAATATAAACAAGAAAAAAAGAGCAGTGCTAGGGTACAGTAATATATAATCATACATATTGCTCAAGTAAATACTCAAGTTAATAGCTCCCTATGTATAATGAATGATAAGCACTTAATCATTTTTATAGGTCCACAAAACTTCTACGTGGGCTAAACTTTCAGTTTATGAGCAATTTATATTCACATTGGTCAGGATCAAAAGATTCCCTTGTCTCAAGATGTTATGTGATTTATTTGGAGTGTCAGAAACTGTTGGTAGCAGCATATACTTGACATGGGTGAAGTTTCTTGAGAAAGAATTAAAGTTATTTATTCCATTTACCACTTTGAAAGACATGGAAGGAATAACCCGGCCTAAAGTTTACGAATCTAATCCATGTCTTCGTGCAATAATTGATTGCACAGAATCCTATAAACAAAAACCTTCTCTTCCTTCAAGTCAACGTCGGACACATAGTAACTACATAGGCAGAAACACCTTCAAACTATTTATTTCCATGTCACCGCTTCTACATATCAACTATATCTCTACATTGTTCAGTGGTTGCATAAGCGACAACGAAATCATCAAGAGATGTGGATTGTAGGAAGAGTTAGCTGCAGGGGATGGCTGACAAAGGATTTAATATCCAGGATTTACTTGCCCTTCAACATGTCCGTTTAATTTCACCTCCAATTAAGCATAAAGGTAATGTTGGCACTGGTGCAACAACAATGACAAGGAGAGTAGCTACAAAGAGGATTCACATTGAAAGAATTATTCAACAACTGAAGTCATTTAGTATATTACAAGGTGTAATCCCATTAACAATAAAACCATATATTGATTCTGTTGCTTCTATCTGTGCAGCATTGGTTAATTTGCAATCACAGATTATTGCATCACCTTAAAAACATTGTACATAGAAGTTTTAAAAAATATGCAATAAAATATTCCTTTGTGTTGATAAACTTAGATCAATGCAGAGTAAACAATGTGTGCAAAGTTCTGTGCCATTTATTTCTTTCCATTGTGGCATCCTTGTTACTGAACCATTTATGTTCCATGACAATGAAATCATTGGGACATTTCTCATATTTTTCAATATTCTAAAAAATGTTGCGAGATTGAAAAAGTAAGCACTCTTCCCTATGTAATTGCATTGAGTATATCTTTCCTATTATTAAGCTCTAACTTGAAGAAACATGTAGTTTCCATAAATACCTTCAAGAAGTATTTAATAAAAAGTGATACAAAAACAGCACAGAGGTTTGAAGAGATTTCCTGCTGTGGGACCTACCAAATAATGCATATAGCAAGATTTACTTGCACAATATATTTTATTGGTGGCATGATAAGAACTCACTTTTAACAGATGAATGAGAATCTTGATCTTCGAATCCATTTACACTCCTTACTTGTAACACTATCCTCTCCTCTAGAATTAAGCAGATCATCAAGAGAATACAAAGCAGATGATACATGCTTACATCCACCATCTCTACCACCAAGACAACAGCAATACGTATCAAGCACACTGCCGCGATTAGACCCGTTTCCTTCCAATATAAACCATAAATCGTAAACGTCTTTACCATCTTTAGTCATTTCTTTCATTGTAGGCTTAACCTTGCCTATATAAACATGGACCCCAGCATCTTGCCTGTATGCTGTTAGCAAAGACTCAACATATCCATCGTAAAACAAACGATAGTTCTCGAACGACTTATAGGCTGCAAGACCCTTAAAATATTAATCGTAAATGGATCCGGCAGCTCAACGTCATGGATGGTCAAACGACAACTTAAATTTACTTGCTGCTCGGCTATACTGACTTGCGGGATCAATGGAATGTTCATTTTTTCCACTGCACATGCAATGGCTACTAGTCCCGGCTTCAGATAACTACTTACGGTTATACCTCTACTCTGCAGTTAACTTTTTAATTCTGGCAGTTTCATAGCTTTGAATTTCTCTTCACGTAACCTTTCTTCCATTTAAGCGCTTATATTTTGAAATAAAGAAATGTTAAAATTTATTTTGCAAGACAGCGAAACATATTTCTATTTCATATAGCAAATTAGTCATTGTTATGTCTTCCGCCATGTTTGTCCGAGTTTTTCACTTAGCGAGCACGTGTTTTTATTCAAATAAAACCGCCAAAGTGGTCTATTAACGACGGTTAACACAAACACTTTCACAAAACCGGAAATATCTTATAAGTACATGGGAAAAATACGAAAAACATATACATCTCATTAATTACGAATAATTTTACTGTATTTTTGCAGTTTTTTTAATATTGAAATGTATTTCTATGCATATGAAAAATGCGAATGTTTTTAGGGTTTGTGGCAAATTTTTCTCAAAACCACTCAAAACCTATGCTAGGGGCACTTATCTAAACATTTGTCATAATTTTGAATGCTCAAACGCATTCCAGATTGGCTGAATTTTTTTGAAAACAATCAAAATAAATTGTAGCCAATCTGAATGTATGAGAGTGTTTGTGTTAACGGTCATTAATTTTGTGTTGAGAGTTGCCTATCTTGTCAAAATATTAGATCTATAAGACCATATATACGTGTAACTCACGCGAGATAGCGCGCATGACAAACATTGCATATAAATCAAGGAATATATTTACTACATAAATCGATTGCATAAAAAACCTAAACAGATTTCTTGGTAGCCTATGATTATTTGTACACAATGGGTGATCTGAATCATTTGATTGTCGTTTTTCTTCTTTTTAAAATAAATACACACATTTTTTTATAAAGTAACACACATATAGTAACAAAAACTATTGCGAAAGTATGGCTTCCAATCAATTGTCAGTTTATCATGAAAACTCAGTTATTCAATGTGTGAATATGTTTCCTCCTCTAACATAAAATCATGGTGCGATGCGCTTTTTGGGGTAATTTGTTTGAAATTATGCGTGAATTTTAAATAAATTTATCCTTCAATCCTTCGCGAGTAAAGACCGGTAACTTCCTCATGAATTTTATCTATAAATTTCAATTTGTTTTTACTAAGATTACTTTTCGTATCATCAACATGCTGTTTTGTAAGCGCAAACTCAACCGTCGCATTTAATGTTGAAACGCCGATAATATCAGATATTTCCAGCCTTCAAATAGACAAACACGAGTTTTAAAAGAATTAGGCCTGTTTTATACCTCGCATGCGTCGAATGTATTAGAGACAAAAGAAAATGAGATAAAATTCCTCATTATCTTTTGTTTTGAATGCATTCGACTCATGTAAAATGCGACGTATAAAACAGGCCTTAAAGTCTTCTATGACGACTTGTCGCTGCGCTACTATTAGATTTAGATAGCCATGTTTGTTAATCAAATCTGACTACAAAGACCAGAACTTCTTGCGCGCTCAAGCCTATGTAACGTCATTATGCATAAGTCTACTGCTGGAAACCGATTTGAGTTCAATAGCATTAATAAAACATTGTTTTCTATCAAAGTTCTAAAATGGTCCAATAAACATTAACTGACGTAAGTGTAAAGCACAACTGTTGTAAGTCAAATTTAAGCATATTCAAATGCACTTTGCACAATAGCAATGCTAGCTATGACAAAACAGTTTTTTGTAATTTGCAGGTACTTTAAACTTAGATCACAGAATAAAGACTATACAATAGGGTCACTCAGGTGTTCGACGTGTCCTCACGTCGGCCATTATTCTAGCCAGTTGATTAGGGTTTGTTACTGGTTTCCAACCATTAAAATTACATGACATCAGTACTTAACAATGAATTCGAGAATATTTTGACTTTAGAAATGACTTCGGATCATTTTAATGGTTTGGAAAAAGTCAAAAACCCTAATCAACTGGCTGTAATAATGGCGGCCACCATGCGCGAGGACAAAAACATCAAAGGCTCCGACACGAGTGACCTTCTGCATATTCTTATTCTGTACTTAGATATCGTCATACCATGTTCTGCACATCTTGCGTATAGTTGTTGAGAAGACTCGTTTGATCCGAATCCTGTAACATAATTTGAGAATTCTTTCAGCCTAAGTATAACGATTATCCAAAAATGCCCTTATTCTAATAGAAATAACATGATCCTTGAGTTATTTGACACGGCTTTTAACAGTATCATAGTTAGAACGATATCACTTTATGCAGTGAGAATGTTTGTTTGAATAAAATGGTGAAACCTGGGTCATAATTGGATGTTCATCAATCAACGCAGTTTACCTTAACTTGAAAGTACGTGAATTTAACTACTTTAATTAAATAACAGTTTTTCCATGATTAAACTTACAGTGGCGAAGAAAAACGGTTGAGATGCGACTTATACCACAAAAACTGAAAATCGTCGACTATCCTGAATAAAGGTTTATTTAATTTGTGACTGTAGCAAATCTGCTATAAAGCGTGCAAATGGGTAAAAAACCTGCATATTTTTTGTGGAACGAGTTTCATTTGATAAAGTTATTGGTACGGATATGCTACTATGTGCATTGAAAGGTTAAAGACAAGACCTATTCGTTTTATTAAAATTTCAATCATTATACAGCATATTCCTAGACAAAGTAACAATGTAGAAGTCATCGCATTTTTCATATGAAAACGGCTTAATGAACCATTGTTAAACGCACGTGATTACACATAACGGAAAAAATTATACGTATACAGGGTGTATAAAAAATAGGCACTCAATGAGTACGTAAGGATTTTTTGTGAATGACAGTTAAAAATTGCTAGTATTATTTCTATAACTGGGCTTAGAGATCTTTGGCGATCAATTCCAAACGTCGGCAGATTTGAAAGATGCGCAGTCTTTTTGACACACTCTATATACTTAACAGCAGATTATTGGAACAATGAGATTGCAATAATATGAATCCTGACTTGTAATATAATACATGATTTGAACTCGTACAAAGTAATGTCACTACTTTGGGGAACACCCTGGATGAGTACACGAACATAATTCTATAACCTAATACATTCAGCATTATACATGCATGCAAATGAGATTCCGTTTGTTCATATAAGTTTTATTTAGAGTAGTCCCTTTATGTACATATGGTTGAAGACAACCATTTTGTTTACATGATAAATTGATTTGTCTGGCTAAAACACAAGCAGCAAACTTTTCCTCCAACAGGCGGTTATACATTATAAATTGGATTCTAGTCTGAATGAATTGAGCACGTAAATATATGGGAGCTTATATGATGCATTTCATAGATATTTAGCGAAAAGGACATTTGGGCAGCGCTTTAAAGGACATGTCCTTTTATACAACAAAGAATCATAGAAAATTTGTTTCAGAAAATTGTGAGAAGATTGGGTCGAGGGTCGCTTTTGCAACTTAAATGATGCATATGTGTACGTCTTTCAACATTTCATTCCCAGTTTCATGCCAATTTTAGAAAAGAAATATACATAAAAGTATGAAAGATATATCAAACTATGAAACATATATCAAAGTAAGAAACATATTTCAAAGTATGAAACATATATCAAAGTATGAAACATATATCAAAGTATGAAACTTACAGTTTCCTCATCATTTACAGTCCGAGAAATAGTTCTTGGCTTCAACTAAAATAACAAACTATAATTTGAAAAGGTACAACATCCCGATGTTCAGTAAAAATATTCAGAGATATATTTTTCGATGCAGTGTCATGGACGTCGCCAAAACGTTAATTAGGGGTTGGGGGTGGTGGTATGGGGTGCGAAAATTCATTGATTCAGTTGTGCCTAAATTATTTTTATAGAAAACTAATTAACTTTCAGAAAGAAATAAGTGGGGGTTAACTAAATACATGAATAAACAGCACTCTCCCAAATTACGTTATAACGACGTCCCTTCCATCCGTTTATACTCACATGATGCTCAGGTGGAGAACAATCAACGTGCGATGGGTCTAACATATACAAAAAAACAACAACAGGTAAATACAAACTTTAGTTATTACGTAATTTTAACCCACAAACCCTGAGAGTGGGGCTATAGATCTGTACAAAAAGACTTCGGTTAGATATCTCTCACAAAAACTTGGGCTTGGTTGATCAGAGCTTACCATATAACTAATAGGCTGTATTCTGTGGCCCAAAAAGTCGCTTTGAAAACGAATTTCGTTGCCCCCGATCGGGCACTGCATTTTAACACGATAGATAAGTAGAATATATTATAGAAAGTAGAAATTCAATTGTTTCCACCTCCGAAGACCCGCAGTTTTTGAGTATTTAACCATTGAAATTTCAATAATTTGATGTCTTTGGCAATCGATCAACGCCATTTTCATTACGTAATTTCGTTGAACTAAAATACATGGAATGCTACCTGTAATACAAAACTCTAATAATTTTTTCAAGCCGTGATTTTACCCCAGACACGCAAGATTTTACCCCAGACACGCGTGTGAAGGCAATCAAAGATTACTCCACGAGAGAGTCTCGAAACACTTGACACGCGTGTCTAGTATAAGATTTGGCTTTAATTATTAGCTCTAGGTGGCGTTCCATGTATTTCAGTTAAATGACGATACTTGATGTAGGATACGACATAAAATGCATATTCTGCAGTTTTACACTCATTTCTATATGAAGTTTCCGTAAAATCCCTGTTCAGGCAAGCTTCAACCAGGAAGCTTTGGATGGCGTTTGGCAGTATTTTGAGAAAGAATTTAAAAAAAGGACTAATAGGCCATGGGCCCAATCGCAAAAAGTCGTCTAGAAATAACATCGGCATGCGTCAACAGAGGAACCAGCTGAATTTTACAACATAGGCAGTTTACATTATATTTATCATTTCCCGAATGTATGCCCAATCAAAAAGTTGCACATTAAGGAGAAAATGAGCGTTGTTTGACTGCGTTTTTGAACAAGGATATCCGTCAACTTGAAACAAAAAATCGCTACGCTTGCGCTTGCACATAGCCTCGAAAATATTAGACAAGAAATGAGTTATCAACTAAAGAAGCCTTTGAAAAATTGTGAAGTGCACCAGCTTAAAATTGTCATCACAAAGAAAAACATGAAAAATCTATGTGATAAAAAGACGGCTTATAAAACATCCTATAGTAAATTTTTAAAAATATTTCAAAAGTATATATATCAACGTTTACAAACTATTAGCTATTTCACAGAACAAACGAAAAAAGGGCATTTTCTCTCTGCTTGATTGAACAAAAAATCATCAATACCATGCTCCAAGTATATTTTTCTACTTCGGTTTGTCAATAAAATTGCTAAGTCAGCCGTTAGTCCTGAACCATTGTGGAAAGTTATGACTTTGAGTGTCTTAGTCGTCGATATTTCTGTCTAAAAGCCTCTTTTCTGAGTCATTACTTGAAATGAGTACAGAATTGGAACCTTGTCATACTCTACATACAGTATACTAAAACAGTAGTAGTACAACGCTCAACTAGGGATATTTCACAACTACAGCAAAGGTGTCGTGTGCACTGCAAACAGCTATGAATGTTGGACATGACAGCCAAATTACAATATAAAAAGGTTAATAAACAGCAAAGCTCAAAAATTGAAAAAATGGACTCATAGCTCAACAAATGGCACAACGTAAGAAAGAAAACACGACATCTCAGATACCATCTATCAAAATTATAGTTTAATATTGATATTTTGAAATGACAAATCGCTCTAGTTAGTTAAAACCAACATTGATAGAATAATTCATACAATATGCATTTCGTGTCTTATCGAAACAAAAAAGGCAACGTTGAATCACAACTATTTTGAGTAGTATCTGAAGTAGCTTTGAAATTCAACTGGTACCAAATATTAATCTCACTTATACTGAATTACAAGTCGCCAAAACTGAAAATTCTGTATGTGCATTATCGTCTTGTTCTTCTTTCTCTAATTCTTATCTGCCTGTTCTGTTCTTTTCGCAGCATTTGGACAATGAAAAACCGACTTTAGCAATTGCAATGGAATTTGCAGAGCGCAAGTACGAATACAAAACCATTACAAAACACTCTGAAGAGCGAAATTTTCAGCGAAAGACAAACTTTTAACGTAAAGGTCGTCAATTAGCCCCAGAATTTGACGCGGATTCCTGCATCATTTCGCCTTATTACATAAAAGTTTTCTCCATTGAGCTGTAAAAAAAATAAATATACACCAAGAAGCAAGTGCAAATGATGTTAATTTTGAGTTAGCACTATTTTTGATATGCATAGCGCAAAAAACCTGTCATCCGAGTGACCAAATTCAGCAAGCTTCGTTGTTAGCCATTGCTTACCAAGTGTAGTGAAAGACATTTCACTCCGACGCTACCTGATTGGTTGAGAGCAAGACTCTCTTTGCTTTAATTGGCTAAGACGTGAAAACATAACATTGATTTTACCTTTCTCTGATCATATATTCAAGATAAAATAATCGACTTTTCTCTTTAATGTGCAAGTTATACGATTGACATACATGCTAAAGTTGCTAAGTACTACTACAGCAACACGATGGTTTCTCGATGGAAGCATGAAAAAATCATAATTTTCGAAGTGGGCCCATGGCCTATAAATAGAAAACAAGCACCTAAACATATTTGAGATATATTAGAATATTTCTCCTTTAGGAAGAATATTTTTTGTGGAAAATATGGAACGTATTGTCTCCCATTTTACAGCAACGCTTTCCAGAGTAAAGCAGACACTTGTATTAGTTCTGAACACTATATTTCTGAAATTCTTTGAACCATTGATTTTTTTGTGTTTATATAAGCAGAAAACGATGCAAACTTGGCAGACAACAAACTATGGAATGTTACCCCCAAAAAGAATTGTTCTAATTTCTTGTCGTCATCGTAAGCAATAAGTACGCAATTACGCATACGTGAGTATTTTCAGCTGTGGTTTCAGCCCGGGCTGAAACGATTATATGACAGATTTTCCAGCTCGGGCTGGATTGTTGTCATGTAATCGCATACGCTATTTTGATAGGATATTATAACAGGCCCTGGCGGAAATTTCAGCACGGCCAACCGGGCTGAAACTCATCACGGTATAAAGCGAAATTCATGACTTGCGAAATTCTTGACGACAATAGTACTGCACATGCGCAATCGGTATTCCACAATAATGTTCACTCATCTATTTAGTAACAATAGCGTGCGTTTCGGTTGAATTTTGGTTGTTTAATGATTCTGTCTAAATTTTAATTAAATTTAGGAGTAATTCTTAAAATATGGAAACGTTGAACACTGATGGCGATTGTGTGAATTCGAAAATACTTGAAACAGTTTTGGTGAAAGAAAAACAATTGAAGTATCAGGTATGAGTGTTGAAGAATTTCAAGTCACACGTATTGCTACGCGAATTTTTATCAACATCGATATGTGTTACTTGACCTTGAGAAAAGGAAGAAAAGCTCTGCCGAGATTTTCGAATCAGTGAAGCAAAAGAATATGCACACTCTTGCAGTTTATTCGAAGAAATTCGAATATAAAGGTATATATGTTTTCTTCTGTTATATAAATTTTCTGATATAGTCCTATACGGTAGGTTTAGTTGTTTCGAAATGTTTGTCAAACGCTCGTTATTTAACCACATTTCAAGTATCTCATTTTTTACTTGTATAGGTAAAGCTTTTCCTTGCTTACTGAACGGATTCATTGCCAAATGTCTACAGGGTACAAAGACCTTTCGCGTTTGCTAGTACTTCGCAACTTTACTTCACAACTTCAGTACTCAAGTACACAACTCGTGAACTTAAGTTGACAAGTTTATATCGAGTATTCCATATTTGGAAATGTAATTGGCAACATTAAAAAGTAACTTGGCAACCGCCATATGAAAACTTTACTGAAATCGACAATAAATACTCAAAATAATACGCGATAAAAATTGAACGATTTCACCAAATTAATTTCTGTTTGCGCCAAAGTACTAGAAACAATGCTTAGATTTCATTATGCGAAAAACATTTTGGGGTTATGGGCACTATAAAACTTTATAATAAATAAAACGATAATACTCGATTTGATGAAAATAACACATGAAAAAATATTTCAGCAAAACTTATTAGTACAATCAATACTAGTATTCTACTGCAAATGCTTATATTCATTGCTTGCTTTACTCGCTGTCTATAATTCTCAATAGATGAACTGAATAAATATGCTTGAAACAAGAGTCATTTCCCTTTTTAATATAAATGTAGTCAAGTTCTTAAACAAACGCATGAAACAAAGAATTGAGGAAAACCATACATAACAATCCTTTTCTATAAGAACAGTTTACAACTTAAGATAAATTCAGCACTCGTAACTAGTCGTGTCGATAGCATAGAATAAGAATATACTAAAGGTCACTCGTGTCGGAACCTTTGATGTTTTTGTTCTCGAGCATGTCGTGCCGCGCATAGTGGCCGCCATTATTCCAGCCAGTTGATTCGGGTTTTGGACTTTTTCCCAACCTTTAAAATGATCCGAAGTCATTTCTTAAGTCAAAATATTCTCGAATTCTTATTAAGTATTGATGGCATGAAATTTTAATAGTTGGAAACCAGTGACAAACCCGATTAAACAGGCTGGAACACTGGCCGACGGGAGGACGCGTTGAACACCTGACTGACCCTACTGTATGATCCTTATTCTATGTCAATATTATGTAAATTTCCCCCCTCATGTTATGGAGTTTTCCAGTCTCCTGTGAAAGCAAAACTTTATTCTTTACACAAAATATTGTATAACTTTATGATGGAAATGCCATGATCAACAGTTATTGTCGCGATATGACAATAAAGTATAAAAAGTTCCTTCAACTTACCAACAACCAAGAAGAAAAATACGGTAAACCCAGCACCAATAATCATAAGACCAGGAACTACAAATGACCATCCCCTAAAACCATTTGTAATTAGACTTAAAAAATTCTAGATTTGATTCAACATTAGTTTGTTGAAAAGTTTGAACGTGACGAATATTTCGAAAATGTAAATAATCAGAAGTCAATGTGCCGTGAAGCTACGCGCAAACGCACTCAACATGCCCTCAACATTGTCTTGCGCTTGTTGAGTGACGTTTAGCGATTGTGGAGCTCTTAACATGTTGAGCCTATGAGATAAAATATTCCACTGCAAAATGTTCTTATAACAATACTCAACACCGCTCAACACCTCTCAACAGGGTGTGCAAAAGCTCTCAACATGTTGAGTCCACAATATTGAGTGAACGTGTTGAGTGCGTTTGCACGAAGCTTGAGATATCACAACACAAATTTTAGTAATCAATATTCTTTAAGAGACTTGTAAGCATTATGTTCGATCGACGTTCTTAAATATAGAAATAACGAAAACGGCGGCAAAAGAATCTGTTGAGCTGGCTTACACCAAACGCAACGCAAAAAAAGGTAGTATGAAATAATCTCACAAAAAAGAGAACGGATTTTTTGAGTGCAAAAATTAAGATTGCATGAATAATCAATTAGTCATGCATTAATGGTCTTAAATTCTGCCGCATAATGGAGGGGCACAGGTCAGCAGTGACTTTTCATCGTAGCTCATACACTGTAAGAGCACATGGGTTAGAATGACGCATATTTATATGTCAAAACCTTAACTAACCAAAACTGATTAGTCCATTTTGACAACTGTGAATGGTCATTACTACACTTTTTCATTGTTAACAAGATATAACCTCAAAGCATGCAGTTCGAAAGGATAAAACAACCTGTCACAAACAGAAGCGTAACTAAAACGTTAGTTGGGGGGTGCATATTCATATATTCCGTTGTGCCCTACTGATTTCTTTTGACAGTAATTTGAATTTCAAAAGAAATCAGTGGGGCACAACGGAATATATGAATATACACCCCCCCCCCTAATGAACGTTCTAGTTACGCCTCTGGCCACAAAGACTGCTAACAGCAATCAGAATAAGTTACGATGAGGGTTACGGTTTGGATAATGGTAGGGCTTGCACAGTGTTACCATAAATGCAAGTTTTTCCTACTAGATTCCATAGAATGAGCTTAACCACTCCCCCTCATTCTAGTTTGCAACTATATAAAGCAGGTGGGAGAGTCCAAGCTCGTCAAATCAAATCTAGTAAAAACTGCATATATAGCCACACTGAGCTTGCAAGTGTACAATATGTGGCAGGTAGTCTACTCTTAGGCCCCGTCCACACGTATACGGATATTTTTGAAAACGGAGGTTTTTCCTCCGTTTTGGCCTTAAGTCCACACGTAAACGGCGTATTCGGTGACCATAAACGGAGGTTTTCGAATACGCTCTCCAGAGTGAAGACTTTTGAAAACGCCGGTTTTGTGTTTACGTGTGGATGGGAGAAAACGGAGGTTTTTGAAAACGATGACGTCAAAAATTGAGTCCAGTCTCATGATTGAGTCGACCGAGTACTTTTTAAAATGGCGGGTCACAAGTGAATTGCTATTTTATTGAAATAATTTCAAATTTGATAGCATGCATTCACTTGTATGTTGCAGTGATAAATATTAAAGAAAGCGGGTGAATATTATGAAGATGCTTTCCCTGTCACAAAATGCCACAAAATATAACATTCGATTTTGCCTTTTCCTTTGAAGGAGCCTTCATTTGACTTTATACCATTCTAATTTTTATATAAACTCACAAAATCAACAGAGCGACCCACGATGTAAAAGAGACGTTAATAAATCCAAAGCTTTCAAGGACTGTTTTAGTTGTTGTTGACTGACGTTTCGACAACCTTAGCGTAGTCATCTTAAGAGTCAAATAAGGAGTTAACAGCAGGTTAGCCGTATTTGTTATCTGGTTCTTACGTCATTGTATTGTGTGTACTGGAAATGTGTGAGTGTCAATTGTGTAATGTCATTGTGGATTAGTGTGAAGTGTCATATTTTTAGTTGATCGTTTGTTTTTATTGCGAATAACTCGTTTGTAAGGTGCCGGTAACTGCTGTGATCTGTTCAGGGGGTTTTGTTCCAAGTTGGTATACCAACTTTCTAATGTAAGCCGTTGTCTATAGTCAGTACTGTAAGTGATGCATTTTGCCGAGTCCCAGTCAATGTTGTGCTTTGTGATTAGGTGATGTTCGGCATCGTGATTAGTTTTGTCTTGTTTCTTTGTAGCTCGTTTGTGTTCAGTAAGTCTTATGTTTAAGTTCCTGCAAGTTTTCCCGATATAGGAGGCGTGGCAATTGGAGCAGTTTATTTTGTAAACTGCACCTTGTCGTTCGTTGGGTTGTTCTTTGTCCTTTATGTTCGTTAGTACTTGTCGTAACGTTGTGATTGGTTTATGTGCGACACGTATGTTGTATGGTCGTAAGATACGCGAGATAGCCTCCGACGTACCTTTGATGTAAGGTATCGTTGCTGTTGTCGCTGAGTTGTTCGTTTTGTTGGGTTCGTTGGGTTTGTAAGTGTTGCGTTTGATGAAGTAAGAGTTATAGTTGTTTTTGTTAAAACACGTTTGATATAGTTGTTTTCGTTGTGTAGAGCGTCCGATGAATCACATATGATTTGTGCACGTCTTGTTAATTTTCTGATTGTGCCAAATAGAATTGGAGCTGCATAATTTACAGTTTTGAGCAAATGCAAAATCAGAAAACGACCAAAAAGTTGGAAGACGAGTCTCTAAAATACTCGCTAAATTTTTGACGCCAGTCTGTCGGAGAACAAATTTTCAAATTTTCTTTAATTACAAAACAAAACGCTTTTCATTCTTACCAACGATCATCAGACCAAACCGCTGCAACGGCAGAGCCAACGATGTTACCAACAGAAGCATGAGAGTTCCATATTCCCATAATAAGACCTCTCCTAAAACAACAAAAACAAAAAATTATGCGCTTTATAAGTAGAGTTTAAGCAGTTCTATCAAGTAATGGATCGAACTTCTCAAAATACACTAAAATACAATTCTTGCATCACAGAAAAATAGGGAAAGACATTTTATAGCAGTTTATTGTAAGAAGGTGTAATATTATGGTCAAAATAAAGTATAGATTTTGTTTCATTTCATAGGTAATAAATTAATTTCAAAGTCAAAATACTGTCAGAACAAAAGTATCAGTCATGAATTTCAGAATGGAATTTTATTCATTGAATTGCCTCTAAGGTAATTTATTTGGACGCGCTTTAGATTAGCTATTGGTTCTATGCATTACACTATGCATACAACTCCAACGCAAATGATTGATTTTCTTAGGGCAGTCATTTACAATGCTTTCGTAAACTTGCATGAAGTAATCATATTGTAGTTTAGCAGTTTTGTTACATTAGATTTTGGGAAGCAAAAGTGCATCATCATAATCTGGGATGTTCGAACCTACGTTATGGAAGTGATTCAGCAACCATAACAAAAGGCGCAGGAGTGACTTAACACTTAAAAACTAGATGAGTTAACAAATTTTATCTTAATAATTTCGTCATAATAAACGTAATAATTTCCAATTCATTTTGTACAAATAAGACCAATGTAACCTAGAACAAGCACATTAAAAAACATTAGAGGACATCAGAACATCTTACAGAAGAACGTCAAGATTATCGGGAGATCCTGAGTTTACATTGTAGTAAACTTGTCTTACGTCAGCATATTTAATGTCATTTGCGACTTGTGAACATTTCTATTAAACTCAGTTGAAACTTATTGTGAATTGTGAATTGTTGGGCGAAACAAGGGAGGCAATCCTCAACACTAGGAGGCAATCCCCAACAATGCAACTATTAAAATATAGAAGATGCTGTTCAAGCTAAAAAAGTCTCCGTAAATTTGGCTAAAGCGTACGCGTAAACTATAGGCATCCAAATCACTGTTTATTCGGATTTTTGCGTTTTTCTTTTTTAATTGCCATTTTCTTAATTCTTATCAATTATTCATGTTGGCATTAATTTAAGCTTGACATTATTCAAAGTTTATAAAAATAAAAAATGGCACTTAAAAGATAAGTAAAGCATACTTTCAGCGATATTAATGAACTTAAGCAAGCAACGTTTTTGTCAACGCGAACATAATGAGTTGCGTTGGGGAACTGGATCTAAAGATTGATGTAAAGTTATTCATTAAGCTGACTCAAAATGTAAGCTAAGCTTTCTTTTGCCTTTAATTGAATGTAGCATATTATTTTAATAGGTAGAACGGCGGACTAGTACCCGAAGGTGCTATTTCAAATCTCGTCCAAGTCACATGTTTTCATGCGCATATAAAAAACAACCGAAAAAACAAAAAAAAATACGTTTACCCGTCACGTTTCTGCTAAAAAACAAGAACGCCAAAACAACCGATTTGCTGTCTTTGACTTCACCTCAAAAACGGCTATGTCATCAAAATCGTTAAATTTAATTCAGGTTGACGTTACAGATTTCAAAACATCGCTAGATTAAGCTCTCTATTAGTAATTAATGTCCCGCAAACCGAGGGGGGTTTGGTAATTACATTTAATCTCTAATACACCTTAATCAAAGCGTATATTGTAATCCCTGAAAATACATATTGTGATGAACAGTTCTTTTTATTTTGTTTTGTTGTGACGTAGCGCGTGCATTTCACGTGATTAACACTTTGGGATTATCACAGAAGGGGGGAGTTGTTGAAAATAAAATAATTCGAGATGTTGTTGTTGAATTATGAAGTAGTTTTCTTTGATGACTTTGTTGTAGAACAAAAATAACGATTTTATCATGCAACGTGCATGACATGGCGCCCAACGTGGGGCGGCTTTAACGAAATAAAGTCGCCCATATTCGTTTCTTACGAAAACGTCGACTGAAGAGAAGGAAAAACTGAAAAGGCTTCGTGCCAGAAGAAGAGGACATTGCGGAGTGTGTACAAAACTCGAGAAAGAGTCAGTTGAATTGTTATCACAGCCACCACATGATGATCTTGTAGAACGTAGCGAAATCATCGCACAACAACTCGAAGGGAAACTAAAAATATTAAGTGAACTCGATGAAGAAATATTGAACACGTGTGATGTTAATGAAATACAAGGTGAAATCGAGGACTCGGCCGAAATTTCTGATAGAGTTATGAGTATAAAACGAAAAATCGAAAGGTATAAATGCGCTAAGAATGACAGTCTCGTTGATACGAATGTCAACGATACCATATCGAACTCGAATTTGACGAACATGTCAAACCCTGGCCAAAACGAAAGTATCGCGAATTCTAAAGAAAATTTGGCAAATGCGACGGAAAACTATGGTTTAATCGAAGGTTCAAGTAATCAAGCGACGATCGAAATTGTAACGAAGGAAATGTAACGAGTGACAACACTACGACGACGGTTCAATTTAAGTCAAATATGCCGAAGCTTCCTAAGCTGGAGCTTCCGAAATATGGTGGCAAGGTTACGGAGTTGAGTTCGTTTTGGGATCTGTATGATTCTGCGATTCACAGTAATCCGAACATTTCGAAGGTAAACAAATTCAACTATCTGAAATCGCTTCTCGAGGAAAACGCAGCGAGGGCCATTAAAGGTCCGACATTAACTAATGCCAATTACGACTCTGCTGTAAAAATCTTGAACGATCGCTTCGGGAAAACCCAGCAAACCATAGCAGCTCACATGGATGATATTTTAAAGATTCAAGATTGTGCCAACGTTACAACTAGCCAAGTAAGATACATATACGATAAAGTAAGCGTTCATGTACGAGGATTATCGAGTCTTGGCGTTTCTTCTGAACAATATGGTAGTATGCTTATCCCGATTATTATGACTAAATTACCTTGTGACATTCGTCTACAAATTGTTGGGTACAACTTGGAAAATTGATGAGTTGTTGGATACAATAAAGACTGAGATCGAGGCTCGGGAGATAAGTGAAGAAGTGCAATCAAGTCCACAGCCACAGCATGGAAAAAATTCAGGAGGTCAGCACAAAACACCCAGAATACCCACGGTGAACGCCGTTTCGACTCAAAATACTTCAGGTAAACATATTCAATGTGTTTATTGTGAAGAGCCACACTTTTCGGCATCGTGTGATAGAGTAACTGATGTGAATGATCGCAAGAGTTTATTGAGGAGAGACAATCGTTGTTTTGTATGCCTGCGAATCGGGCATCTCAGAAAAAATTGCGAGTCAAAGAAGAATTGTAGACGTTGTCATGGGGCTCATCATCAACCGATTTGTGAAGTGATTAAGTCAAGTTTTACGCCTCCTCAACAAAAGAATGCAAATGATCCCAAACTTTTCCCCACTGGAAACAACCTACCAGAAACCAAGGAAGGAAACTACGTTCGCACAGCTACTATGATTGATGGAGATAATTACTTAACGACGAATACGGCAAAAACGCATAATCAAGTTCTTCTGCAAACAGCTATTACATACGCCAATGGTGGGAATGGTTCCATTTCTATACCTGTTCGCGTGCTTTTGGACAGCGGTAGTCAGCGCACTTATGTTACGAATTCATTAAAAAACCGGCTTGGACTAGTTCCCATCAGAAAAGAGGTTGTTAACTTAAATACCTTTGGCAACCAACATTTTACAAAGCAAAAATGCGACTTGGTTCATTTGTCCCTGAAAGGAAAGAATGGAAATCGAATCATAACAGCTCTTTGCTTCCAAATATTTGCTCTCCATTAACAACGACAATTGATCTCAATCATTATCCTCACCTGATGGAGTTGCAGCTTTCCGATACCAATATCCTCTCTGGACGACAGACGGACAACAACATCGACATTCTAATTGGAGCAGATTATTATTGTGATATCATGACAGGCGAGATTATAAGAAGTGAAGGTGGTCCTGTTGCGATTAATAGTGAATTTGGCTGGATTATCACTGGACAGACGAATGATGGTGAAACTAATTCGAAATTGTCAAACGTTAATTTAATCATCGAAGATTACTCTTTTTCAAAGGAAGTTCCGTTTGACAAGAGAGAACCCAAATTACATGAATGCTTGAAACGGTTTTGGGAGATCGAATCAATGGGAATCAAAGAATCCAGCGAATCACAGGATCAGGAGTTTCTGAAGAATATACAATATCTTGAGGATGAAGGGAGATATGAAGTGAATTTACCTTGGAAGGGAGAATATATTCCAAAATCAGACTGTAACGGTATGTGCTTGAAACGATTACACCAGTTGAAATCTCGTCTCGATAAAGATAACCCCTTATTGCAAGAATACGATACAATTATCAAAGATCAAGTGAAAGGAGGAATTATTGACCCAGTTCTTGTTGCACATGAGACCGGTTATTTCCTACCCCATCATGGCGTACTTCGAGAAGATAAGGAAACTACAAAACTTTGCGTGGTTTTCGATGGTTCGGCAAGAGCTACTAAGGAAGAGCAGTCACTTAATGATTGCCTCGAAAAGGGACCAAATTTGGTTCCACGTTTATTTGACACTATGATAAACTTTCGAGGCTTCCTCATTGGGCTTGTTGCTGATATCGAAAAGGCTTTCCATCAAATACAAATTGCTCCCGAAGACAGAAAGATGCTGAAGTTTCTTTGCTTTGACGATATTAACAAAGTTCAACCGATGCTAAAGGAATACAAGTTCCGACGCCTACCATTTGGTCTAACCCCAAGTCCTGCAATATTATCTACTGTTATTCGTCACCATGTTTCAAAATACAAGAATGTCGATCCAGAAATAGTCTCCTTATTAATCGAGTCGTTATATGTTGACGATTTCGCTGGTGGAGCTTCTAATGAGGACGAAGTTCTATACATCTATCATAGATCTCGAAAATTAATGAGCGAGGGAGGATTCAAGCTTCGAAAATGGCATTCAAACTCGCAACATGTCCGAAATGTTATCGCGAATGATGAAGATCGACCGTTT